TCAATTCTTCTAGGTAGTTACACCAAATATTGATTTGATTTGGGTTTTTCTTCAGTTCGTTCACTTTGCATTTTGTAAATTGATAAACATAAACAATTACAATATATATTTTTGCTTTTGCATTCTTACTTTACAGCATTTTTTCACACCTGCCTAAAACTTTTGCACAATACTGTGTGTGTATGTGTATCCTATCATTCTTACTTTACAGCATTTTTTCACACCTGCCTAAAACTTTTGCACAATACTGTGTGTGTATGTGTATCCTATCATTCTTACTTTACAGCATTTTTTCACACCTGCCTAAAACTTTTGCACAATACTGTGTGTGTATGTGTATCCTATTTTAAATATGGAATCACTCTATAAATTATTGTTTTGTACAAGTACTTAAAATAGATGCACTTGTTCATACAAGGAAATATGTTCAAATATGAAAGCTATTTTTTTACATTTATTTAAATGAGCTAAAATATTCAGAAAAAAAATCCCAAAGATTTTTTTCTTAATTATGAAGTTTATTTTGAAACTTGCTCATTTCTATTGTATATATAGCAACTTATGTCTTGTAAAACATTAGAAGTATTTACTATTGAACATGATATGTGAAGTGACTTTATAGCAATGTAATAACTGGAAAAATGCTCATCTTTGTTTATAATACAGTCCCTCTGTATATAACATATAATGTAACTTTGTACCTGTTCACTATTTAGGCTGTTTGGAAAATAGCAATACTATAAAGAAGTCAATTATGTTCTTAGGTATTTTAAAGAAAACCTGTTGGCATTAAATTATAAAAATAGAAGACTAAAAGACCTGAGAGCTTAAAAAGAGTTGGATATAGTGGTACTTCGGCATTCTGGTATAACCATAAGGTTGGATAGCTTTCACTTGTTTTTGATTTAAGTGTAATTTGCTCGTAGCTCCAAAATTTATAATTGTATACTGATCAAACAGCAAACAACAAATGAACTAGGATTTTTGTTTCTCATAGAATGACATAGTTAAAAGCCAAGATTATAAATGAATTTGAAATCCTGATTTTGATTATTCCTATACAGTAAATCATGATAGCTGATTCTGTTTGGATAATTATAGTTTGTTTAAACAATTATGAATTAATACTATGGACAAACTAGGCCAGTGTGTTCAGTTACCTTGAAGCAGTAAAACCTACCAGCAAGTAAAGAAAAAGACATGACTGAGAAATAGGATAGTCTCATGATTTCCTGTGACAGTGCTCCTTAGAAGGGTGTATTTGGAGAATTAATCATTTATTACTTTTATTATTCTTTATCTAGAATAACTGTTGCTTAGGGAAATGTATACTCACTGTCCACACAAAATTAAGGGTCTTACCTTGACATTTTGCTTTGTTTAGCATGTGTTTCTTTGTAAAGCAAGGCATTTTTCGTCTAGATGACACACACAGGCACCTTTGATTCTTTATCAAGTTTTACTGTACATGTATTAAAATATCAATATACATTTTCCTTAAAGACATTTATTGAATACAAAACTGTATTACACTCAGTCTTAATAAAAATGATTGCATGCAAAGAAAGTGGTAAAAATGATAGAGATCAATCAGTTAACAATATTTTCAGAATATAGATCTATGATCTCTGATTCCTCAGCTACATATTAATACGTTATTTAAAACCAGCAATCATTTTAATCAATACAGTCATAGAGAAATTAGTTACACTTGACTTCACATTATGACACATATTTATTTGGCATTTGTTGGAAATTTTAACACATGATTATCCGACTCCTTAAAAGATTTTTGTGAACAGGTACCTAATTCTGGATTTGAATAAAAGTTTCACAAACAATTATTTGCAGAATTGAGATTTTAATGTAGAATATCATACTAAGCAGTAGGTGCCTAAGATTAATGCATTTACGTATGTATCCTCCCTTTTACAGATTCTGAAAGTCCAAAATGAGGCTATAGATGCGCAAGAATACTAAACTATTCAACTGATATCAGATAAATGGTCAATACTCTACTCTGAAATATTATTCAGAATGACCTTTATTTTTACCCACCTTTGAAAATACATTTTAGAAGTCATATTTATTTTTCCTATGTATTAGCAGTACAGGATATCACATTAAGTCTTTAGAGCTATAATCTTCGGCACTCAATTAAACACTGAAAAATGAGTGCAATTAAGAAATTCCTTACAAAAAACAAATGCCTTATCTTTTGTATGGTGGTTATATTTACTTCCTACTTAATCATAATCATAACTTGATTCATAAACACTGATACTGGTCATAAATCTCCTAAAACACATTTTTTTCTTTCTTAACCTGGTTTTAAGCAAAGAAATCTGAATTAAGCTTATATACAAAAGCTTTTAAAAGTACAAAAATAATATCTATTTGTGATTGATCATGCTTTACAAGTTTCAGCTGTATACACATGCAAGATAGTAAAAACATAACAGCACTCCTAGTCAGAGCATGTGACTTGCTCCTGACAGAGAATGGGTATGCATTCAAAATAAATGTAATGCCCAATACTGCAGTATTTGACAGTCTCTGCATGTGTATGTACTAATACAACAGCTTTCATATGAATTGTTCTTTTAAAAAAATCTCTACATTACAAACACTAAAACCTACAATAGCTATAGAACTGCTTTTACAAAGAAATATCATGATGTACAAATTAAAAGCAGGGTACATGCAAAATGTATGAACTATATTAAACTCAGTTTTTTAAAAGTTGGTAATTCCCATTAACACTCAGAACATTAAGCCAATAGAGTCATCTCTGACTAATACTATGTTATACCAAAAGAGCAAAACAAAAATTAGTCAGAACAAAAATAATAAAGTTTACATTTTGCTGGTATTTGTAAAATATTTAAATCCAGGGGAACAAGTCTGCAGCCTTCATTTTCTTCCCATTAGATCATGAAATGAGCTAAAAAGAAAATAATTAAAATACTTCATCTTCTGTATAAATTCACCTTTCCATAAACACCGTGCTTAAGCTGCAATTCTAACCTCTTATTCTGAAGAAAGTTCCAGAAAAATCAACATGATTTTCAAGTAAATATTAAGGTTTATCCTATGCTATTAGATATCTATGGCATAAAATTAAGATGTAATTAAGCAAACATTAAAGCAAAATTACCAAGATGTAATTAAGCATAGAGATGAATAAAATTTGGACTGTTTCAGGAACTGAGTTTCATAGTGGAAAGTTTACTAATAGTTTTTTAAGATTTCTAAAATTTAAATATATTAGAATTTGAATCTTTATATAATATCTCATTGATCAAGTATTTACCTCTTCCACTGTCTTTTTGATGAATTCTTTTCTGTCAGATAAGTCATAACTGGGATAGTTTTCATATACCTGTAATGATCAATTTAAAATAAGCTTAATCAGGTGATTAGGTTAGAATGAATGGCTGAAGAGGGAAAAAATTGGAATGGACCCACTTATGGTGGAAAAAGGGGAGGATTTTCTTTTAAGAACTATTTCCTTCAGTATTTTCATTATTAAAATTGTTTCCTCAGCTATTTGCACCAAAGAAATTATGCAATAAAAATAAGGTAAACAATATTCATGTCTCCAAGACTATTAGTGCAAAATTGAGGAAAACTAGTACCGACTTGCACTCCATTCAACAGTTAATCTTTTCTAGTTCTCATCTTCATGTACGGAAAAGAGAAAACTGATCTAAATACTTACCCTGAAGGTTTAGTCTTGTTTGGTTTGACAAAGGCATTTATGAATGGGCTAACATCCCCTATAGCTTGGAAAGGCAGGGTTCATATGACCTAGATATTTATCTCTTGTGCTGTGCTGCTGGACTCCTTACAATTCTATCTTATGGCTGACCCTGAGACAGTACAAAGCAAAGGAGTCCATAAAATAGAGGAAGACAAAAAGAGGGGGCCATGTTAACACAGAATGGTATCCCAGAATTTGGGTGAGTTACTTGCTCTGTCCAATCTACCACAGAAGCTAATTGCTGCAGGGACAGAATAAAGGGAGACGTCTGTGTACATTGCTTGAGATCTCATAAAAAATAAAACATTTCATTTATCTTGGATACTAAATAAAAAGTCTCAATTTGTATTACAGGGAGCTGTGAAAAGGTAGAGGAAATAATTTCCAAACTGGTATTAAGAGCATCAGACTAGGACTGGAAGGCTCATATTCAGAATTCTTCTCCACTATGATCCGCATTAGTGTCTATGGGCCTGTCATTATAACCCAAATCAGAACCATATTAATTTCTGTAGAATTCATGTGTTGTTGATAGCAAAGTAGACAAAGCACGATTACAGGCCTTTTCACTATGCATGGTACATTCCACTTTGTATTACCTATTGCATTTTCTTTTACGTAGAGTGGTCTCTGATCCGTAATAAAGTTTGATTGGCTGATTATATTTTGGGGGGTGGGGGAGACCAAGGGGAGAAGAGACTTTATATCCCTGCTGGCAATATGCAGAAAAGGCAAAGACTACAGAAATATATGCATCTTTATTCTCAGCCCTGAAATCTAAATTTATACAGTAAACAGTATACAAAACAAATGTCAAATATATACCTCTTTATAAATTTGTTTCATAGTAACTTCCTCCAAATTTGCATTAGCAAGTAGTTTCTTCACAGTTTCTTTCAATTCTTCATCTGTGGGTGGCTTTTTCAATTTTTTAATTAAAGGCTCATCATCTGAACTATCCTCAGATTCACTTTCTAAATGAAAAATATTTCATTAAAATGCAAATAACAATTAGCTCCTTTTTTCCCACCAGTCAAATTTAACTCTGAATAAAACTGCAAATTAGTTTGTACTAAGGAAAGCTTCTGTACTGGGATTTTTCAGAGAGCAGCTCACAATCAGATAGTAAATAGAGGTATCTTTTAAATTTCCATTCTCAAGTTTTCATACCCTCCAACTTTACTATTCCTCATCCAATCATCTCCAGGTTCTTTTCACCCAGTGTAGACAGGAAAGGATAATTAGTCAAGTTGTTTGATTTTTAATGTGGCTGATTTCTCTGAAAAACAGTGCCGCCTCATATGACATTGTAACATAGGAACAAGTTATTTTGATATAAAAAATGAAATTCAGAAGTATTCTAGTTTCTATCCAATAGCTTCAACAGTGTGACTGAAGACATTTAATAGAAATTGAGTCCAGTATATCCAACTGGTCCCAGCAGCCAATGGGGAACATTAAAAAGCACATAGTACAAAATAGTTTGAGAAATTAAAGTTGCCTTTTCCTCAAAAAATATACACAATTTGAAATTAGTTTTTTGTCAGCTTATAACAACTTAGATTTTATGAGTGGTAGACATACCTTTTTTGGAAGAATTCTGACTCTTCTTGGTTGTACTGCTATCTGCTTTCTTGACATTGGCATTTTTTGAGCCCTTTTTGCTTTTTGAAGCTACTTTTTGTTTGGGTTTTTCTTTTTTAGTTGACTTTTTAGGTCGCTGTGTGGTAGGTAGAAAGCATATTAAAATCTACTTCAATATTTATGACTTTTAATACACTGAACTAATGCAAATTTAATGCAAAAAGTAAAATAGAACTGTAACCCATTTAAAAACTATCTGTTCTACCTGTCCCAAATATTTCTGGCTTGTTAAAACAATGTTTCTGTTCTATTTTTTCAGTATACAAAAAGATACTTGCTAGAGCAAGCAGAGTTGTGCCTAGAAATCTGAGATAAGTAGATAAGTTTGTTCTTAAAATAACAATTATTTGGAAAACAGTGTACCTGTAGTAAATACATACCTACATGTAGTACACCAAAGTTTACAACTGGCATTATTTAGCCAATTTTTTAAAGAATCATTTGTAACATTAATATATCTTAAAAGTGATACATTTAAGGAATTTTGGGACTTCTGTAATTATCTGGTCCCACGCCATTGCCATTTAAGTAAATTACAGATGCTAGTGCAATTCTTGCTTTAGCACAGGTTGTTTGTATCGAGGTTTTACCTCTTCTTCACTTTCTTTATCTTCTTCAGATGATTCATCTTTTTCTTTCTTTTCATCTTCCTCACTACTAGATTCATCTGTCAGGATTTCAGGACATTTGGTGCGTTTGGCTTTCCGTGCTGTTCCAGAGCTACTACGTTCTTTTTTACCACCTTTGTTGGGTGTTTTCTTGGATTTGGGCAATGGCTATTAAATATTGAAAATGAAGTAATTTTTTAAAAAACAACCAAAGTAGTTCTATAATATATACCTACCATAGGAAATGCTATAACTTAACTAACTTTGATGATTGTTCCTAGTGTAAAAAATTGTTGGGAAAATGGTTTTATAGGATTATAGGTTTCTTTTCAATGAATCAACACTTTATGGCTTTCTGAATTGTTTTGTGCTAATTTTAGCTTTCAGGTATATATTTTATGTTTTCATTTTTTAAATACTCACTTTATTTTTGCTTTTGTGTGTTAGCCTCTTAATTTTTTTTTAATGGAAAGTCACGATACAAATCAGATCAGTAAATACATGCATTTTTAAAAGACAATAATAGAATTGAGCTCCCATTCAGACTAAATATTGAATGTTACATATCCATGACCTTTTTGATACATTTTTGAGAGGTGCGCTGTAAGTGGGCAGTAACTCCCAGAAAGTCAGTTCCATAGAATTCAGCAGAAAATTCTAGAAATCAGAGTTGAAGGATTCCTATTCCCTGCTTGAAGAGGGTTATTTTTTTTCAATCTGCATTTAGTTATCAGTCTCATGGATTCTGGTGATCTGAGATACTGATTTTGTATTATTTGTAATAGATTAGGGAAAATTGAAGAGGTAAGGAGAATGCAGTTTTATAGAATTTAATGTTATTACAGAGCAAGAATAATGCCATTCTTAAAATTTCTCCATGAACTCTGGCTTTGTTCTAATTGGTTACTTCTATTTGCATCTATTTTACATTTTAAAAAAGGAAAAAAGTAAAGAAATAACATAATAGTTTGAAAATAAGCCTCGCTAAAACTGTTTTTTTTAATTTTCAAGGCATGTTAGTACAACTCTAAGAGCTTCACATGCCAATATGTTACTCTGTATATCTTCCCGCTCACTACTATAGGTTATCAGTTTGCTGCATATGCTTTCCGAAATGTGACCCTACAATTCTCTCTCAAATAAACAATCATTAAAATGGTTTCAAATAACATACTTCCATTAATTTTAATAGAATCATGAAGTGCACAATCACAACCCATTCTGATAAGCATTTGGGGATGCGAAGCAACCATTGAAAGTAACATTTATTTAATAACCTTACTGAGGCTAAAAGGACATTTGATTTGGTGTTGAGAGTTACTATATGTAAACTTTAATATCAATATCATCTCAAATATCTCACCTGTATAACTGTGTCCTAAGCCATGGCACATGGGTATGCATGAAATAAGTAAAGCATTAGTGTAATTTTGTGCTAACAGCAAGGCTCATGAGGAACAGCTGTAAAAAACCAAGCACAACATCCTGTCTTTTTTGTTATAGGGAACAATGCTAACATGTTCAAATTATGCCCCAAACCCCATTTTAGTTTAGATTAAAGAATGATCTAAGCATAGCTCTGTGTCTTATCTCACCTTGCCTGAAGGTTTTGGATGCATTAGGAAGTTTAAGATTCTTGCTACCAGTTCACTGTTAACTCCTGATCTTTCCAAATCAAGAACTTCACATATGCTTTTTAGCATTGCATTTCTGTATCTGTAGAGAAACATACTTTATTAAACATGATTTATAAATATGTACTAAATATGTAATACAAAATAGACAAGTATGTATTAAATATGGGTAATATAAATGGGAATATATATATTTGATATAACCTAAGCCCTTAATTAACCTTAACAAGAATTCTGAAATACTTAAGAGTTAACATTTTAAACACATAGTATTTAAGCATGACCTAGTTAGATCAATATATTTAGAATGCAGATGCATCCAACATTCTTTCAAACTTTAATCAACACCCTTATCAGTGTTGTCAACCATTATTTTGCAAATAGACAACTAAATTAGTAAGTTTTTTATACTTCTCTTTTGGCCTCCACACAACATATCCAAATGACTCATAAGAATCAAGTATTTTTAAAATTAAGCACTGAAAACCAATTCAAGCATTTAAAAATTGTTCTGATCATTACATGCTGTGTATAGGTAGTCCCCGGGTTAAGAATGCCTGGTTTAAGGATGACCCATAGTTAAGAAGAGAGCCAATTGTAGCAAAATTCGAGTTAAATACACAATGATTTGAGTTAAATATTCAATGGTTCGAGTTAATTATACAATACTACTGTTTTGGCTTACATACAAATTTGACTTAAGGGCAGACCTTGGGAACAGAACTTGTTCTTAACTGGGGACTATCTGTATATGAAATAAAGTTGCACAAAATCTGATAACTGTAAATATTAATACGAACAGCAACTTGAAAACTATGGAAGACTTTACAGTTAATGTTAATAAATAGTGAAAAAATTAAAATTTGACAGAGGAGCTTGAATATTCCCTCCAAAATGAAGACGTGTCTTTCATCAAATCCCTAAATACGAACATGATTATACTGCTAAATTCCAAAAGTTTCCAAAGACTGTGCAAAGGGAACTAATGTGCTCACTTGACTGGACTGCATTTCAAATTTATGTATGTGAAAACTTACAGCATTTTGTTCAATAAAATATTATACTCAAAGCTACACTGCTGTAAAGTATCAGTAACAATTTAATGCTGTTTAAATTCTTAAACATTACCTGTTTGATTATAATGTCAAATTATATTTAATTACATTTACAGATATGCTTCAAGATACTTGTACACTAAAGTTGCTAATTGAATTTTGTCTTGGGAACGCACACTGGGCTCCAAATATTTTGAACATTAATTATATTGTTTAATCATGCTAAAGTCTCACTTTTTCAGCATTTCTTCCTTTTTCTTGTACTGATCGCTTCCTTTTTCAAATGGAAAGCCACTGAACTGTCCTACATTCTTTTTCAGTGAAGCAACCTAAAAAAGAATACCATTAATATAAAACAGCTTGCAATGTTCTTTACTTCACATAATTGCCAAAATATCAAAGGATGAATACAAATGTACAGCCTTAAGGTCAAACTGTCATGTCAGCAGTATATAACTGCTAAGTATATAACAATACAAACGTACAGCATTTCCCAATCAGAAAAAAACAGAACAATCTGCCTTAGTTCTGATGTGAGGAATCTGCTACATGTTACATATAGCAGTATTTCTGAGTAACACAAGGTATACTAACACAAGCTTTACATAATAGATAGTTAGAATGTTATTAGATGTGTGGGAACTGTTCTCTACAATAAATATATTACCCTGGTAATACAATTCATGAAGCAATTTTATATTTATTCATTAATAGAATTTGATGTAGCTCCAATCTAATTATTGTGGACAGTATAATAATGATGGAAGACTTCCCTACTTATGCCTAAAAATAACAGAATCATAATATGTAACTTAGATACCTTAAATATGTTAGTAGTGGGCAACATTTTTAGCCTAGAATCCAACACCCAATACTACGTGGGGGGGGGGATCTGCAGCTGTACCCCACCAAGCATTTTCAATGGAGAGTGCTTTCCTGCTGTTTTTAGCAGCAGAGAAATAACTATCTTAGAAATTCTAAGTTTGTTGGTACTGGCAGGAGACTTTTCTATGATAGACTACAGAAAGGCTATCAGGAAATGTAATGAACCCTGTATGTTGCTTACCCATTCCAATCTTTATGTAGCTAAAGTGGGACAAGAGAGTAATATAAAGATTTGGACATATATTAAAGAATCTTAGAAAAGAAAAATAAAGGGAAAAGTGCCACCACAACCAAATACAATCTGAACAGGATAATAGCCACAAAAGAGGGTGCCTATATTTAACTATTCTGGTAGAGAATAAGGTTAGCTAGTCTACTCACTAGATGCATTCCCTGCTGTATTTTGTTCCAAGTACCATTTGTTTTATTTTAGTAAAAATCTCAAAACAATATGAAATAATAATAATAATAATAATAATAATAATAATACAACAACAACAACTTGGGATCTGAACAAAAACTGAATTGTACACTGAACTACCAGCACTAGCAGATCCCACATTTATCCACAGGATGATTAATAACAGAAGAATATCTATTCTAAAGCCTAGAGATGAGGAGTCAAAGAAATCTACAGCCAATTTTATGTGGCCAATAGGTATGTAGATTTACTTTAGTTGAGTAGCAATTTTTCCACACTTATTTGTTTTGGAAATGGAAAGAAACTGGGATCAAATAACCAAAGGAAAAACCATGTAAACCTAAGATGCATAGGTAAAATATATGTCTCACCAGAAAGAGGCTCGCCTGGTGTTTACCAGGACCGATACTTAACACCTCCAATTATCTGGAATTCCCTCCCCTTAACAGTCTGCCTCTTCTGTGGCGTGTTTAAACAAAATCTGAGGAATTTACTCTTATAGCTTAGCATTCCTCCTGTAGAAGACTTGTTTTCAATCTGCTTTTAAGACTGATGTTTTTATGAGCTAATTTCTTATAGTTTTTAACTATTTATGGTTTTGTTATTTTGTTTACATTGTTCATTATATTTTTAATTTTGGATGTGATTGGTATTTATTGGATTATATTGCAAACTGCCATGGTCTTCCTTTGATGGAAGCATGCAGTATATAAATATGTTCAATTCAGGAAATTTTGTGATTATATGAAAGCTATATACCAATTTAAAATAGTTTGAATGAAAAGTGTGTTATGAGATTTCTTACTGTGCCTGGCCTGTTGTAAAGAAGTTTGTGCAAATTTCGAAGTTCATCAGTTTTCTTCTTGCTTAAAAAGTACTGTATTCTTTCAATTTCACAAAGTTTTTGACCCTTTCCTGAAAAGGCAAGTAATACGTTATAATAATCAAACAAAGTTAAGCACCTTTTAGTCATTATTTTATTTGCATTTAACTAAAGGCCATCACCATATAAAGGATAAAGAATAATTAAAAATTCAATAACTAAGGCTCCTAGGTTTGCTAAGAACAATCAGTGAAGTTACCTTGCACACTAGACAAACAATACAATCTTGTAATAACATTTGGGAAACAGCCTCTTAAAAGTTCAACAGGATTTATTGCAATACTGCTTCAAAATAAACATTAAAAATGTCTCAAATGCCTCTATATAGGATAGTTTAGAAAATTACAAATATGATCTTCCATATAATATACACAAAGGTTTTCTCTTTAATTTAGCATTTGTTTGACTTCAAACAAGAATTTTGTAATTAATATACAAAATAGCTTGCCTGGTGTAATTGTAAAAGGTTCTTTCTGTAATGATGACACCTGCATTGTCAACCTTTCTACTTTTTTCTTCTCTCTCTTTCCTTCAACAATGAGGCTCTTTTCTGAAAGACAATTGATACTTTCATGCAGTTAGGAAAGTTGTTGAAATTACTATATAGGAGAAACAAAAATAAAGTGACCTGTAGATTTAGAATATATGTGTCATTTGAACAAGCATTCTGATGGCACCTAAAATACTGGCAAATTAGGGTCACATGTATCAATGATCAAATAATTTAGCAGTTGATCTACTCCTGTAATGCCAGTGGAATTTTATGGGTTATCTCTTATCAAGCACTTTCACTACACATTGAAATGTAAGAATCATGAAAATATGGTACAATTTATAAGATGTTATGTTAACCAAGTAACAGGTCCTTTGGTTGCATGTTTGCATTTTATGAATCCAGTGAGTGTGATGACTCTGTCAGCCAGAAAACCATGCAATGAATAAATGAAAATCAGTTCTCTGACTCTCCTTCCATGATTCAACATTAGCATTATACATATATAGAAAATAATTATTGTAGTTTAAGATCAAATGCTGATTTCCATATGTTCTGATGCTTGAAAACTTCAAAGCATAACTTTGTTATGAGGGAAAACTGTTCATCATAACAAAGTTTTGAGCCGAAGTTGTAATTTAAAGTAGGAAACCTGAAAAGGGAAAACTGGGGTTTCTAGTGAAAATATCAATGGGCATTTAAAAATAATTTTATTATACTTGCATAACTAGTGATATACAGTGGTACCTCGGGTCACGAACGCTTCTGTTCATGAACAATTTGGTTCACAAACAGCTTTGGCCGCAAAATTTTGCTTCCATTCACGAACGCCAGATCGGGTTACGAACAGGATCCGCGGCCATTTTCCCTCCCGTGCCACGTGGTCGCGGCTTCCTGTAGGGAGCGGGACTCTCCCTC